GCTGCTCCCCGGCCTCGCCATCCCCCCCGCGCTGCTGCCAGGTGTCTCTTTCGCAGGTGGCACCATGGGGACAGGTGAGGAGGGCACGGGACGAGGGGGAGGGAGCGACGGCGGTAGGGGGGTCCCCTGCACCCCTTCGAGGAGGGGGGACGGGCGGCTGATGCTCGAGAGGGGCAGCGGGTGGGTGCCGTGGGGGGCTGGCAGCAGTGGGGACGCCAGAGTGTCCCCTGAGCCGGGGCCATCACTTATTTATTGAGGTCAGGCTGGGGCGAGCGGGGGACGAAGCGGGGGGGTGCACCGTGATGGCGTTTCACCCACGCCTGGAAAATCCCCGCAGGAACTGCCGTAGGGAGCAGCGCACCCATCTCCTGCCCTACGTCACTGGGAATCTAGAGGAGCCCTAGGGAGGGTGGGGAGTGGCCGGAGGGGTCAGGTCCCGCTTTCTGGTGTAAAGCTGATGTCCCTGTGTCCCCTCTCCAGAGCCTTTCTGGATTTATACTGCCAAGTAAAGCCCCTTTGCACCCCCTATTCCGGATTTGCATTGCTAGGTAGAGCCCCTTTGCACCCCAGCATCCTCTCTCCAGGGCAGGGCAGCCTGTTCCCACACCCCCATGGTGTTACCCAGGAGTCATGCAACAGTTCGACCCCGAGGACACTATAGGACGGGAGGGGATTGGGCTGGAGAGGAGGTCACGAAGCTCCTTCTCCTTCCAGGCTGTGCTGCTGGACCTGGGACCTGTCCTGCCAGCGCCATTCACCCACGCCAGCTGTCCCCAGCATCACGCTGCTAAAAGAGAGTGGTGCCCAAGCCTGGGCATGTGCTGCTGGACTATGCCATGTCCCCCGCTGGCTGACGGGCAGCCCTGGCCCCGTGAGGACACAGCCAGCCCTGAGCCAGACGCCGGGACGCCGGAGTGCCCAGCACCACCATGGCCCAGGACTGGGAGGCGGTGCTGTCGGGGATGACGGCGGGCAGCCGGTCGCGGAGCTCCAGCAGCGAGGCCAGCCTGGCTCCCCGCTTTCTCCTCAGCAAGCAGAGCCGCCTGCTCAATGGGACCACCCGGAGCACCCGCGCCACCTCCCCCATGGGCCGTGTCATCCTCATCAATGCCCCCATCGAAGGTGCGTGGCGTGTCCCAGCCCTCCACCCACCCCTATGGCCAGGAGGGCTGGGATGGCAGGGTTCCATGGGTCTGGGGGCAGGGAGGGCTGTCCAGGGACTGGGGATATCCCCAGTAAGAAAGAGCCATTGCTCACACTGAGCCTGGGTGACTCATCCATTCCCCTGTCCCCACAGCCAGCAGCAACGAGAGTGACATCATCAATGCCATCACGGTGGAGAAGAGTGCGGATGGCAAACTGGGCTTCAGCGTCCGTGGTGGCTCTGAGCATGGGTTGGGCATCTTTGTCAGCAAAGTGGAGGAGGGCAGTGCTGCCGGTAAGAGGGAAAGGGCAAGAGACACCAGTGGGGATAGGTATGTGCCAGCAAGACCCTCTCGAGAAGGTCACATTGACATGGTGCCACAGCGACAATGCCACCCTTCACGGTGGAAAGCCACCATCTGCTCCCTACTGCCTTTTGGCCATGGGGTTTTCAGGCTGCCCCCTGAGAAGAGCAGGAAACAGGAGTAGGCAGCTGTGTGCCAATTGCTCTGAGCTCCATCCCCAAGCCACAGCGAGGTGGCAAGCCACCCATGCCTGCCATTGTCTCAGTGTGATTGTCAGGCATCCCCACCTCTGTTCCCATGGGGTTCAAATGAGGTCGAGGACACATTTAGGGAGGGGTTGCCAAACAAGGACATCAGTGCCAGTCAGGTACCCACCTGAGCTGTGTGCCCCTCGCAGAGCAGGCTGGGCTGTGTGTTGGTGACAAGATCACAGAGGTGAACAGCGTGAGCCTGGAGAACATCACCATGAGCAGTGCTGTCAAGGTCCTCACCGGCAACAACCGCCTCCGCATGGTGGTCCGGCGGATGGGCCGTGTGCCAGGAATCAAGTTCTCCAAGGAGAAGACAGCATGGTGAGCGGGGCCAGCACCCCAAAACCCAACCCCTTGGAGGGCATGGCAGAGAGGCCTGGTGGGGGATGCTGGATAAGAGAAGGATCCAGAGCTGGGGGAACCCCAGGGTGGGGGGCATCAGAACTCTCTAGCAAAGGTGGGGAGAGACCAGGGTGAGGTGCAGGATGAGATAGGAAGGTCTGGAGCAGGCAGGGTGGGTGCAAGCCCCATCGTAAACATCCCCCATCCCCATCACTCTCTTCCACTGGGTAACACCAATGGCCCCATCCTGCTAGAAGATGAGAGCCAGATCCCCAAGCCCCCCTACACTGTGCCCATTCTCCAGGGTGGATGTGGTGAACAGACGCCTGGTGGTGGAGAAAAGCGGCTCAACGCCATCGGAGAGCGGCTCCGAGGATGGGCTGCGGCGCATCGTCCACCTCTACACCACCTCTGATGACTACTGCCTGGGCTTCAACATCCGTGGTGGCAGGGAGTTTGGCCTCGGCATCTATGTCTCCAAGTACGGCTGACCCAGGGGGCATGAGGGGGACACAGCGCCCCAATCTGTGCTGTGCCCACACTGGGGCTCAGCACCGCCTCCCTGGCTGAGCTCCCCACCCTCAAAAGACTGTGGGCACCACCACCAAGGGTGCTGGGGCATGGGGCCTCCCACGTGGAGGTGCGGGGCAGGAGCAGAACTCTGACAAGGGTTGATCCCATGCTGTTCCCTCTGTGCCTAGGGTGGACCCTGGGGGGCTGGCAGAGCAGAATGGCATTCGGGTGGGAGACCAAGTCCTTGCAGCCAATGGAGTCAAGTTTGAAGACATAAGCCATAGCAAGGCAGTGGAGGTGCTCAAGGGGCAGACCCACATCATGCTCACCATCAAGGTACCTGCACCCAGGCCTATGGGATGCTCGGGTGAGGCAAGGGTTGGTGTGTCCCCATACTGGCGCTGCCCCAGCTCGGCTCGGTGCCCGTGGGGCTGGTGCAGCTGCCGGCTGGTTGGGTTTCAGGTGGGTGGGAAGGGGCGATGCATTATTCATGGCTGGCACCGGATCGGGTTCGCTGGGACAGCCGGCATTCACTGACCCCCTTGTCCTCTTCCCCTGTGTGTAGGAGACAGGCCGGTTCCCTGCCTACAAGGAGTTGGTGGCCGAGTACTGCTGGCTCAGTCGCTGTAAGGGCAGTGCCTTGCGGGTACTGGCAGGGACGCGGGGCTGGGGCGCAGGGCTGTGGTTGGGACCCCCATGCAACTGGTGTCTTGCCACTCTGGGGAGGGAGAATATCCACATGCCATGGGATCCCATGGCCTTGGAGAGGGCATAAGGCCCCCTATGCCACAGCCAGCAGCCCTGTGATCTCGCAGGATCCTACATGTCCCCATCTTTGGAGAGGACATGATGATCTCTATGCAGTGGCCAGCAGCCCACTGGTCCCCATTACTCTGTGGGACTCCACATGTCCCTTGTCAAGAACGCAGAACTCTCCATGTGCCTGCCAGCAGCCCTGCAATCCCCACGGCCCTATGAGTCCCCACACATCCCCTGTTTTGGGGGGGATGTGGAACCCTTGGTGGCCCACAGTGTGTCACACTGTGTTCACGCTATGCCTTTGCAGTGACCAACGGGCAGCTGCAGCAGTTGTCTCAAACCTCAGAAACCAGCTCCTCCATCTCCTCCTACTCCTCGGGGCCAGCACCAGGGACAGTAAACGGGCTGGGGATGGCTGCCCCAGGGCCCCCAGCCCGCACCGTGGATGTGGCCATCTCCACGGAGGATGGGCCGCGGCGAGCTGGTTGCGGAGCGCGCCGAGCGGCCATGCAGATGAGCAGCCCGCTGAAGGGGCTGCCGGAGACGCGGCGCACGGTGCGGGCCCCCTGAGCTGCTGGCGGGACAACGGCCATTCCACGTCCGGGGCCAGGGCACCGTGAGACCCCAGCACTCACAGGCCACAGCCGACCTATCACCCACCTCACCAAACAGCACTGCTACTGCGCTGAGCCGGCCCACGGCAGCCCATTACACGCTCCCAGAGTGACCTCACCGTTGCCGGTAGGCACTGGGGCATAGCCCCACACAATGGGAGTCACCCCTGGCTGGTGTCCCCCTCCAACCCTTCACCCCCAGCCCTGGGAGTCTCGCAGCTCAACCCCTGCCCCACTTGGAGTGAGTCTCCTGCTCAAGCATCCCGTAGTCCCTGACCCACATGGATACCTGGACCCTACTCCTGGACTTCCTACAGTCAAACTCTCTGGTCCTTACTCTAGAACCCTATAGCCCATATGGACCCCTGACTACTAACCCTGGGTATCCTATAGCCCCACATAGCTGCAACCCTGTCCATGGGGCTTGCCAGGCACCCCAAAGCCCAGCCCCAAGTCCCCTGGAGCCCCACTGCACCCCACAGCAGGACTCTTTCCCAGTCAATGTCTCCCAGTAGCCCCTCCAATCCCCCAAAGTTCCCTGCCTCCAAACAAGGTTTGGGGTGGCATCCCCTGGCCTCTCCAAAGACCCCCTCTCTCTGTCCACAGAGGAGAAGCGGAAGAAGGAGAAGCCAGATGGACAAGGGGCACGGGGAGCTCCCCCAGGGCTGCACCGGTCCAAGACCCTTGTCAACCTCTTTTTCAAGGGGGGTCGTGCCACCAGCCAGAGCTGGGCCCTCCCAAGCCAGGAGGCTCCTACCTCTGACCGCCGGGCACGCACTAAGTCCCCAGGGCGCTCCGATGGGGACAGAGGTACTGGACTGGGTGACAGGGCAGAGAGGGACTCAACCTGGGACTGGTCCCCCCTTGTATGGGCCTGTTGTGGCATCCCTGGCATGGAGGGGGCACAGGGAGGGGTTCCTCAGGCATCCAGTTTTGACAGTGGGCAGCGATGTTGCTGACTCCCCTGGGTGCTCACCGCTCTCCATCTCCCTTGCAGTAGGTGCTGTGCAGAAGTTTGTCATCCGGAGCCTGAAGCGGGGTAACGGGGGTGCCCGTGTGCCCAGGGGGGTGTGGGGCAGGCTCTGCATGTGCCTGGCCCTGTGCTGTGTGTGTCTGTCCCACTCTGGTGTGGAGCGAGCTGTTGGGGTGGGGGGCATGGGGAGCTTTCTGGGCTGCCTGGGGCAGTCCTTGCCCCGCTGGCCACCCCTCCTTGATGTGCCTCCCCAGAGAAAAGCCAGCGTGCCAGCATCCTGGGCCCCACGGGCATCACCACCCTGCAGCCCAATGGCAGCGATCCTGAGGCCCGGCTCCCGCACATCCAGGAAACCGCCACACGCCTCCTCAGCCCCGACGAGGTGACAGCCGTGCTCCGCCACTGCTCCCGGGTACGCACCAAAGGCAGAGCACAGGCAGGGAAGTGCTGCCACCCTGGGCTCATCCCTGGGAAGCTCCTGCATCCCAGGGGCATGGCGAGCACTGTGTGCCCACATTGAGCTCTGGGAGGTAAACTGAGGTGGGAGGGCAGGGCATCCATCCACTGACACCCCTCCTGTGCCCACAGTACCTGCACGAGGGCAGTGTGGAGGATTTGGTGCGGCCACTGCTGGCTATCCTGGACCGGCCTGAGAAGGTCCTGCTGCTGCGGGATGTGAGGTGAGTGCTGCTGGGGAGTATCTCAGTGTACCCCAATACTGCCCAGCATGAAGTGTGATCAACCTAGACTCTCAGACACACTCCTCAGCCTTGATCATGCTCCATCCCAGAGGCTGCCACAACCTGTCCTCCCTCTTTGCCTTGGCAGGAGTGTGGTGGCCCCCACAGACCTGGGCCGGTTTGACAGCATGGTGATGCCCTTGGAGTTGGAAGCCTTTGACGCCCTAAAGAGCCGCTCAGGTGGAGCCCAGCCCCCCCAGGGACCTTGAGTGGGGGGAGGTAGTGGGCAGGGGTGAGTGCGGCTTGGGGGTTGACTGCGAGCTCTTCCTGACCGCAGTGCGCTCACCTGCCCTCCGACCAGCCCACCATGATGTCCCCCCCAAGAGACACCTCATCACACCAGTGCCTGGTGAGTGCCACCCATGGACAGCCAGGACACCAGGCTGCCTGTGGAGCCCCTTACTGGATGGAAAGGATATAGGGGCAGTTTAAGAGAGGAGAAAGGGAGCTGGGATGCCTGGGTGCAGGGAGTCCCAGGGAAGAGGGCACCTGGTGTCCCTGGGTGTTGGGAAGACCTGGAGCAGCATTATCTGTAGATTCTAGGTGCCAAGGAGTCTTGAGGAGGAGGATTTGGAGTACCTGGAGAGAGCTGGGGTCTGGGGGTCCCTGGATGTCAGATGCCCTAGGGAGGGGAGCTGGGGAGTCTGACTATCTGAGGAAGATTTGGGGTACCCAGGGGATGCCTGTGTGGCAGGGGTCATGGGGAGTGGGGCTGCAGGGGTCCAGGGGGAACCTTGGGTGACAGGGGTCCCAGGGAGCAAGGCTGGGGGGTCCTGGAGAGATCCCTGAGCCCCTCTCGTTTCAGACTATCGGGGTGGATTCCTGCTGAAGCCGGCAGGAACCCCAGAGCTAGAGGAAGCTGGGGAGCAGCAGGCAAGCCCAGCCCGTCCAAGAGCATCCCCCAGCCCCCGCCGGCTTCACCCCCGCACCTACACCCCGCTCCCCGACGTGCCAGTGGATGCCTATGCCTGCACCAGCCGCCCCCTGCCCACCCTTGGCCCCGGGCCCCCCAACTGGCTGCTGGCTGAGCCCCCCCCAGGCAAGAGGCACGGGCGCTCACGCAGCCCCCGGGCCACCTGGCGCAAGGAGTCCTCCGGGACGGCACCTGACAGAGGGGCCGAGGTGCTGGGGAAGCCCCGGCGGGCACGGGCTTCTCTTTCCCCTCTCTTTGGGAGGACAGGGGGTGAGGCGGAGGCTGGAGCAGCCATCAATGGCCCCGAGGATGCCAGCAGGGAAGAAGAGGAGGAGGAGTATCGTCTGCTCACTGTCACCCTCTCCAAGCTGAAGCACTCACTGGGTGGGTGGCACGCCAGGGGACCCCAGGGGTGGGACAAGGACCCTTTTTCTGGCACCAGCATCACTGGTATGGGTGGCACCCTCTTGACAAGGGTCAAAACCCAGAGCACTCCTCCAAAACTAGAAGGGGGGGAAAAGCTGCCCCAGCCCCTCATCCATGTAGGACCTACCAAAACAGGGTAGGATGGAGGTGCAGCTGCCCAGGGGAAGGCAGTGCCATGCCTGTGAGCGGGTGGGGGTCCCAGCCTACCCAGGTGCGAGGATCTTGCGGGTCCTTCGCAGGGATCAGCATCTCCGGTGGCATCGAGTCAAGGGCACAGCCAGTGGTGAAGATTGAGAAGATCTTCCCTGGTGGAGCCGCCTTCCTCAGTGGCATCCTCAAGGTACAGGGGAACCTTGGGGAACCCAGCACATGCCATGGGGTGGAAAGACATCCAGACACCCCCATCCCTTGGTACCGCTGGGTTGGTGGCAGTCCCCAGGCACCCCGAAAGGAGCTGCACTTCACCCTGCTGTCTTCCCTTGCGGGAGCCAGGCCGGACAGGAGCTGGTGTCGGTGGACGGGGAGAGCCTGCAGAACGTCACGCACCAGAAGGCTGTGGACATCATCCGCCAGGCCTACCGCAACAAAGCCAAGGAGCCCATGGAGCTGGTGGTGCGGGTGCCTGGAGCATCCTCAGACTGATGCTGTACCTTCCCTTCAAGGAGCCATCCCATGTTCCAGAAGAGCCAGATGGCTTATTTCTACACTGAGCTGTGGCTGGTCTTAGCATAGCCAGAGGGTGGGAGAGCCAGACCCGCCTCAAGGGCACAGAGCAGCTGCCCACTGCAGGACCCAAAAGAGAGCACCACTGGCAACACAGGAGATGGACAGATGGCCCCTGACCCCTCTCTGGACACACAGACACAGTCCTGAAAAAAACACAGCCAGGGGCTTGTTTTTTAATCGCCGTTTCTGGGTGGTACATGGGCGAGCCAGGCTCTGGGAACGAGACACGACTAGAATAAAGTACAAAAATCCCCCCCTGGAGCCAGGGGTGACCAAGCCACAGCGGGGCACAGACAGACTTTTCCTTTGGTTTGATCCCTGCTCGGTGCCCAGCTGGGCTCCCCCCCTCTGCCCACCCCGAGGGTGTCCCCAGAGTGTCCCCAGCTGGCACACGCAACATTGCACCTCTCTCCCCTGGCAGGCTGGGCATCACAGGGGCATGGGCTCTTTTGGGGGGGCAGGAAACAGAGGGCTTCTGGGGGCAAGGGCATGGGAAAGGCACTGAGGGCAAACTGCCCCGTGGCAGGGGTGAGGGGGCACAGACTGGTGGAGTGTGAGCTGGGAGAGGGTGATATGTTTTGGTAGGTCCTATAAAAATAGAGTTATTTAAAATGGCACAGAAACGAATTCCCTGACAAACACACAGAGGGGCATGAAGGAGGCTGGCATGGGCAAGGACAGGGCACATGCCAAGTGACTGGGTGACAGTGCCAGCAGGGATGAGAGGGAGGGGACAAGCCAGCCCTCCCCCTACCCAAGGTGACCCTGGCTGAAGCCAGCGCCACTAATCCCCAGGCACTAAGAGGATCAGCAGGAACCAGTTCCGGGCGGCCCCAAGGCCGGGACTCAGCACCCATCTGACCTCACATCTCACGGGCACCCCTCACTGCAGTGAGCACTGATGCACCCTCACCCCAAAAGCTCCATGCTGGGGAGGGGACAGCACCTGCAGTCCCCTCTGCCTCTTCACAGTGCCAGCAGTCTACAGAGCTGAGGGGAGAGCAGGGGCCCTCCACAGCCCAACAGCTCCCAAAATCACAGGGGCTGGAGGCCCCTCTAGCCCTCCAAACATGGGGTGAAGGCAGGCAGCATCTCAGATCTCGGTGGCCGTGATCTCCTCAAAGGGTGGGTCAGGGGGATCACAGGGTTCGGGCAGAGGGTCCTCGCCCTGAAGCCGGAGATGCTGGAGCCGCTGCTCCAGCCGCCGGTTGCGCCGGTACATCTGGATGTAGCTGTATTGCAGCTGCTTCTGGTAGCGGATGACCCGCTCTTTCTCACCCTGCCACGTGCCACGTTCCTGCTCGAAGGCATCCCGCTGCTCCTGTCCACGCCTCCGCTCCAGGGCCACCTCCGCACGCAGCCGCTCCAGCTGCCGCCGCAGCCCCGCACTGCCCCGAGGCTCCTCGCCGGGTGGGGGGCATCCCTCGCCAGGTGGGGGGCACCCTTCGC